GCTGAGCGCCACAGTTCATTATCATTCCGCGAGGGGCGCCATCGAATGTCGTACAAAAAGTCGTATGAGGGTTGACCTATCATGTGAGTGCGAAAATGGTAGTTCGTGACTGGAGGGACGACGATGACGATATGAGAACAACGATTCTGAGAGTGCCGAAAACTTTATCGTGCCATATCTTTACGTACATAGCAGCAATCAGAGTCGGGTAAATTTTAAAAAATTCCTGATTTTTTACTGAATTTTTTGAGTTGATCGAAAGTTCATTTCTTTATCTGTAGCAAAGAAGAAATTATATTTTCATTTCCCCCATTCCTGAAATCCTGATCCTTACTGTATATAACTCTGTAGCGTCTCGCTCGAACTCAACGCGCAGGGCGCATTTCTCGCATCGCTCAACGCTACGAGTTTCTTGATATGTCCTTCGGATCGGATGACACGGGACATAGCGGTCGTGAATTAAGGGTGGCGCTTCTATCTCGATGATGAGCGTATTTAACCCTTCGATAGTGAAAAGTTCATTTCCGATGACACGGACCAGATGATGTTTGAACTATCGCACAGCGGCCTCCCACAGTCCTCCGAAGTGGGGTGACAAAGGCGGATTAAACTTCCAGTCGATTCCTTGATTGGGGAGATGGGTGTGAATTGTTGTATTATTGGCAGTGTTTTGTAGATGCTGTAATATCTTCTTCAATTCGTTGTTTGCCCCCATGAAGTTGGTTCCGTTGTCGGAACTGATCGGAGCGGGTTTGCCCCTTCCATCTATGAGTCGTTTGAGGGCTCCTAAGAATCCCGCTGTACTCATGTCGCTGACTAGCTCTAGATGAACTGCCTTGGTTGACATACAAATAAATACTGCGACATAGACCTTGATTTTATTCCTGTTTCGAAATTTCTTCTCCTTTATGTAAAACGGGTCGCAGTAGTCAGCCCCCCACGTTAAAAAAAGGCCTGGTGGCTCCGATGACTCTTGACTTCGGTAGATCGACCATGACGTACTTGAGAATGGTCGGATTTGCTCGAGTACATGTAACGCATCTTCGTAGGATCTTCCGTATTTGATTACGACCACCCAGAGGCCAATATCTCTGTCGAACAGCGTATAGTGTGTTCTGCACACTGGAATGTAAGTGGTTCAAACGATATTACCTGATGATGAGGTGTTTCACGTGCTCGCTCTTGGGAAGAATGAGCGGACATCTTTGTGTAAATATGATGTTAGTATTTTTCAAACGGCCGCCGACTCGCAACAATTCTTTTTCATCAATGAAAGGGTTGAGTGGTACCAGTTAATTTGATTTTGGCATGTCCTTCCCATGGTGTGTCCTGAGTTGTTCGAAATCGTTAGCGAAGACTCTTTCTTGTACCGTTCTGATGATCCACTGGTGAGCGAAATGTAGCACTTTAGTCGTTAATGGATATCTATTTTTTCACAGCGTTGCGTTGCCCGGTTTAAATCTGAAACAGATGGCTGCAGTACGAATAAGCATGGTGAATGATGAAAATCTGGTGAAATCAAATGGATTAGCGACAGTTTGAAGACAGGTTAGTTTTGCTCCGTGTCTTTAGGAGGAGGTTGAATTAGATTTTGTGGCCACGCCCTCTCCTAATCAGTTAACCAGGATGGACCATGGAACCAGAGTGTGTAGGTTTTGAGCTCGATTGGTTATTGTCCCCGAGACAAGGCGTCTGCGGGATTATCTTGAGATGGAATGTGTCGCCACTGCCATTGGTTAGTTTTTTGTTATATATCAGACACTCGGTTTGCTACGAAGTTTTTAGTTTGTTCGGTTTTAATCAAGTGTACTACGATTGTGGAGTTGCTCCATAGGATGGTCTTTGATACAGGGATGGTTAGTGCTTATGCCACGATGTTATGAAATTTGGAGAGGAGTTGAGCTGCACATAGTTCTAATCTAGGAATGCTGATCGTGTTTAGTGCTGCGATTTTTGACTTAGAGCATACTTGTATGTGATTAAGTGAATCGATGGATCTGAGACATACACAGGCTCCGTACCCAACCTCGCTGGCGTCACGGAAGCCGTGCATTTGGATATCGATCGGATTGAATAATACCACTCTACGGTTTAACCGTAGTTCGCCGCCTATAAGGGATAATTGTTTGCAAAAGTCACTCCAGATCGTATGAAGGTCGGCTGGTATGGATTCGTCGCAATCGAGTTTTGCTTCCCACAACCCTTGGATTATGAATTTTGCTTTAAGGACAATTGGGCCCAATAATCCTAATGGATCAATGATTGCGGCGATTTTGGTCAATATGGTTCGTTTGCTTCCTGGGTGGACTGCATTAGTATTGTAGACAATGGTGTCGTTACCAGAATCCCACAAGCTGCCAAGTGTTTTTAAAGTTTTGTTAACATTCAATAGCAATCTTTGGTTCCTGTGTTCTAGGCGGATATCCTCTACTATTTTCGGTTCGTTGGAAGCCCATTGACGAAGAGTCAGTCCTCCTTCCTTCAATAAATGAGTAATTTCTTGACGGGCTGTTATGACTTCCTCGACTGAGTTGAAATCAGTTAATAGATCATCAACGTAGAAGTCGTTCCTTAAGATGTATCCTGCGATCAGGTATTTTTCGGCTTCGTCGATGGCTAGTTGATGGATGCATCGAATGGCTAAAAAAGGAGCAGATGATAAACCAAAAGTTAATGTGTTCAGTTCGTAGGTAAGCAGCCCTCCGTTGTCATCACGTCAAAGTACTCTTTGATATTTCCGATCCTCTCTTCGTACCGAGAATTGTCTGTACATTTTTTCGATATCACCCCTTAAAACGTAATTGTACTACCTAAATCATAGTATCAATGTAAAGAGGTCATCTTGGATGGTGGGTCTGACCAGTAACGTTTCGTTTAGTGATATCCCGGACGTGGATTTGGCTGAGCCACCGGAGACGACTGGTGGTGGCACTACTTTCCTTGAAGACAGCGTGGTGTGGCAGATAAATCCAGGCTCCGTAAGACCTGATGCTATGGACATATGATTGAGCTCTAAGTATTCCCTGACGATCGCGGTATATTCACTCTTAAACTGAGAATTTTAATTTAATCTCCTTTCCAAGGTGTAAAAAGTGCTGTCTCTCTCGACTCTCCTAACATGTCTCGTTTGGAATTGAAAGGAAGCGCCACGGCAACTCGACCGGAGGCGTCTCGAGAGTACTGATGCAGGAAGTATTCCTCTGCGACTCGTTCTGCTTATGATTAAAAGTTTCGTTTGGGAACTTCTTCGATTTCCCAAAATCGACTTATATCGTTATTGAAGTTCGATAGGTGACATTGGTGTTGTGCTGATGTCGTCGACCAAACGATGGTACCTCCTAAAACCCAACCCAATCGAGTCATCTAGAGGTACAGCTCTTGCCCGAATTCTCGTGACAAGCTGTACTGCCCAATGCGTAGAAGTGATAGAGTTGGCCCGGAACCTATCAGCACGTCGATTGACGCCGGTTTGTAGAACTCTGGGTCGGCGAGCCTGATGTTTTTCGGAATGGGAATCGCCTCTCTGGAAATCACTTGACTTGGCGTGAAGTCCGTGAGCTTGGGAACAATCAGAAAGTTCAATGATTTCTTGTACTTCCTGTATCTCGACTGAACCCAAGCTGTGATTGTCTTTGGTGAACACATACGCTTCACTTAAAGTCCCCACTGGTATAATGCATCGTTTTCTCGGTAACTTCAGAATGGCAGCTAGGTGCTCGGTGATGAAATTAGCTGTCAAATAAGTGTCTAGGAGAGCCCTCCAGGCCACGGGTTGATTGTCCTTGTCAAGTGCATTAATGTTTGCACTTATAATCATTTGGTGTTTTGGTATGCTCGTATTTAGGTTGGTTAGTGGCATGATTTCGACAGATGTCCTTAATTGTCATGCTCCTCTTTGATTGCCCCTTGTGGTCTCTTGGTTGGCCTCTTGTGACCTGTCTTGAGCAATGGCTTGATGTAACAGTGTGTTGTGACAGTCCTTATAGGTCCAACAGTTGCTCCGAGAGTAGCAACCATTTACTCCATGATTGTCCCGCAAGCAGTTGAACCACATTTTCCCTTCTCTGGTGATTTTTAGCCGTTTTGCTGGTGATAAGCATTTGAATTTTTCGCATCGAAACAGAGGGTGGTGCTCATAGCCACATGTCGGACACTTTCGCTCCGCGTGGCTTAAAAAGGCCTGGTCATGTGTTCTTTTGTACAGCTTCTTCGCCGTTTCTCGAGAGCTGGCGATATGGAGAGGCTTGTCGTTGGTCCTATTAATGAGTCTGGATGCTCGAGTTGTAAGGAATTCGAGCATGTCGTCTAGCTTCGGGAATATGCCTCTTTTGATGATGTTGTTCCATTTGTCTCCAGTGGATTCGTGAATGTTTCGTTCCAGTATAGTCACGATTATTTCTTCGGAGAGCTGTATGTTCAATGATTTAAGGGCGGCCAAATGTTGACGTATGTCAGCTATTAATTTAATTAAACCACCTGGGGTTTCGCTGTCCTGTGCTGGTAGACTTAATAAAAGGTTCAAGTGTCTTGATGCAATGATACGTGTGTTTGAATAGGCATGCTCCAATAATCTCCAACTCTCTGCGTAGTTCTCTCGTGTGATGGGAAGTATCTTCAATTTCTCGAAGGCTGGCCCTGTGAGTGCTCGTCGCAGGTGTGTCAGTTTGTCCACACCATTGATGTCGTCTTGATTATAGATCATTACATCAAATTCAGAGTTGAAGAAGATACAGTTTTCACAGTTCCCACTGAATCTGGGTAAGGATGGTTCTGGCAATTTCGGTCTCCGACGTTCTGACGTACTGGCGATAAGATCCAATCCGATCCGATAGATCCTCGCTAAGAGCGTCAAAGTCAGAGAAGGCCCTTTGAAACTTGTCAAAGCGTTCTTGGTTTTTTTTGGTATCAATAGTCTTATGTTGGTAGACGGATAGGAAAGACTTCAGTATTGTGTTTTGACCTTTCCAGAGTCGCATTTTGTTGGTGATGAAATGTATCCTCGATAGCGCATCTTCCGAGGTCTGGGGACCGTCCATGTGAGGAATCCTGAAGCGCGATGTCAATCGATGTGGTATGCGGTCCGATCCTTGCCTCCTCAGTCCACTGATGTCGAAAACTGATGATGTATTCGTTATATATCCGGCTCGAAGGATCAAAATGATCCGCACTAAGTATACCGCGCGGAACCCAAGCTATATTGTTCACTTGCATGATTCTAATAATAGTGTGGGGAGAAAATGTTGTCTATTTATCGAGATCCATGACAGTACTGAGCTTTATTATTTTAGATTAACCCTTCTGGGAGTGCTGGGTTGTCCCAAATTCCTGGTGGGGGTAACACGGCTTATATGATGATAGAAAAACAACGTTGGTCAGTGACCTGTGCATTGGGAAGGTCCCAATTTGTTTTGGTCGGCTATACTGTGGATGCGACGAGCTCGCAGCTCAACATTCCGGGACAGAACATACAAGGTTTAAAGTTCTGAGAGGTGGCCATCACATTTTCCGACGGTTTTCGGACTGCCCAAATCCCGGTGGATGTTTCTCGCATCTGCGACCACGGTAGCTCGTCCGGGAAGGTTGTTTTCTTAAAAGTGATATTTCTAGCGAGTGGTTGCGAATTTTTTCAGATGAGATATAGGGTTTGAGGGCCTGTGAGGCGTCCACGACATTTTCAGACGGTTTGAGGGCGTCCCAACTCCCGGTGAATGTTTCTCGCACCTGCGACCACGGTAGTTCATCCGGAACGATTGTTCTCTTCAAATTGATCTCTTGAGCGAGTGGTTACGATTTTTTTTTCAGATGAGATCCAAAATTTCAAGGTTTGTGAGGAGTGCATGACATTTTCAGAAAGTTATCGGGCGGCCCAAACTTCGGTGAATTTTTCTCGCACCTGCGACTACAGGTGCTCATCGGGGAACGTTGTTCTCTTCAAGCGACCCTCTCGAGCGAATGGATGCGATTTCTTTCAAAGGAGATACAAAGTTTGAAGTTCTGTGAGGTGTCCATCACATTTTCCGTCGGTTTTGGTGCGGCCCAAGGTCCGGTGAATTTTTCTCGCACATGCGACCACAGGATATCGTCGAGGAACGCTATTCTCTTCAAATTATCCTCTCGCGCGAGGGGCTGCAATTTTTTTCAGAGGGGATACAGGGTTTGAGGGTCTGTGAGGTGGCCATGACATTTTCAGGCGATTTTCGGGCTGCCCAACCCCCGGTGAATGTTTCTCGCATCTGCAACTACTGTAGATGCTCAGAAGTTCAGAGGAGATACAGGGTTTTACTTTCTATGAAGGGTCCATGACAGTTTGTGACGGTTTACGGGCGGCCCAACCCCTGTGAATGTTTCACGCACCTGCGACCGCGGTTGCCCTTCAGGGATGGTCGTTCTCTTCGAATTGACCTCTCGAGCAAGTGGCTGTGATTTTTTTCAGAGGAGGTACAGAGTTTTAAGTTTTGTGAGGTGTTCATGATATTTTCAAAATGTTTTCGGGCGGCCCAAATTCCGGTGAATGTTTCTCGCACCTGCGACCACAGGAGTTTGTCGAGGAAGGTTGTTTTGTTCAAACTAACCTCTCGAGCGAGTGGCTGCGCTTTTTTGCACAGCAGATACAGGGTTTTAAGCTTTGTGAGCGGTCCATGACATTTTCAGAATGTTTTCGGGCGGCCCAACCTCCGGTGAAATTTCCTTGCCTTTTTGATCACGGAAGCGCGATGTAGAAGGTTGTTCTCTTCAAATTGATGTCTTGAGCGGGTGGCTGGCATTTCTTTCCAGAGGCGATGCGGGCTTTTAAGTGTTGTGAGGTGGCCATGCCATTCTCAGATGGTTTTCGTGCCGCCCATACCCCGGGAAATGATTCTCGCCCCTACGACGATCTCTGTATCTCCTTTGAAAAAAATCGCGGCCACTCTCTCTCGAGAGTACTTTGATGAAAACAACGTTCCCGGACGTAGTATCGTGGTCGCAGATGCGAGAATCATACACTGGGGTTTAGGAAGCCCAAAAACCGTCTGAAAATGACTCGACCTCTTCACAAAACTTCAAACCCTGAAGCTCCACTGAAGAAAATCACAGACTCGAGAGAACAATCTGAAGAAAACAACCTTCCCCGACGCACTACCGTCGTCGCAGGTGCGAGAAGCTTCCATCGGGATTTGTGCAGTCCGGGAACCGTCGGAAAATGAAATGTCCACCTCACAAAACTACAAACCTTGTATCTCCTTTAAAGAAAAACGCAGGCACTCGCCTGAGATGTCAATTATAAGAGAACAACGTTCCCCGACGAACCCCTGTATTCGCAGGTGCGGAAAACATTTTCCGGGATTTGGGCCGTCCGAAAACCGTCTGAAAATGTTACGGACGCCTCACAGTTCTTTAAACCCTGCATCTTCGCTGAAGAAAATCGCAGCCACTCGCTCGAGCGGTGAATTTCAAGAGAACGACCTTCCCCGATGAAATACGACTGTCGCAGGAACGAGAAACGTTCACCGAGGGCCCGTGAACCGTGTGAAGAAATCAAGGGAACCTGACAAAACAGAAACCCTGTATCTCCTCCGAAAGAAATCGCAGTCGTTCGATCGAGAAGTCAGTTTGAAGCGAACATCGTTTCCAGAGAAGCTACAGTGGACGCAGGTGACAGAAACATGACATTTTCAGACGGTCTTCAGGCTGCCCAAACCCCAGTCAGTGTTTCTGTCACCTGCGACCACTGTAGCTCCTCGGGGAAAGATTTTTTCTTCAAATTGACTTCTCGAGCGAGCGGCTGCAATTTCATTCAGAGGAGATATAGGGTTTTATGTTTTGTGAGGTTGTCGTGATATTTTCAGACGGTTCACGGGCTGCCCAATTCCCGGTAAACGTTCCTCGCACATGCGTCAGCAGTATTTCGTCGGGTATGGTTGTTCTCTTCAACTTGACCGCTTGAACGAGCGGATGCGATTTCTTTGAAATGTGGTACTGGGTTTTTGATTTGTAAGGTTTCCATGACATTTTCAGACGGGTCACGGGCTGCCCAACCTCCGCTGAATGTTTCTCGCGTCTGTGACAACGGCAGCTCGACGGGGAAGGTTGTTCTGTTCAAATTGATCTCTCGAACGAGCAACTGCGCTTTTTTGCACAGCAGATACAGGGTTTTAAGCTTTGTGATGTGTCCATGACATTTTCAGAATGTTTTCGGGCGGCCCAACCCTAGTGAATGTTTCTCGCAACTGTGACCACGATAGCTCGTTGGGGATGGTTGTTCTCTTCAAATTGATCTCTCGTGCGAGTGGCTGCGATTTTTTTCGGCCGCGTTCAAGTAATTAACAGAGGGAACGGAGGATCAATTCCTCCACGAGAACTGTAGTCTCGAATAAATTGTGCCATCTACTTGTAACGTTAACCCTTCGTTGTCCATGCCTTTTTCTGACACGTAATTTTATAACTCGTATTTATATTTCAAAATGCAAGTAAACAATTTAATTTCATCTGTTTTTGCCAATGTGGCTATTTCGAGTTATGTCTGTTGTTTAACTTTTTCGAGTGTTGATTTAGTTGATGGAACAAGTATCATTCTGATCGATTCTTTCCTAATATTCTCATTTCTCTGGAAGTATTTAATTTTAAAAGGAAATAAATTCAAAATCTATTTAAAATTGGAAATCCACAATAGTTTATTGTTCTTATTTCGAATACGATATAGAAAATGCTATTTTACATTTTAGATACCTATTTCGATTGCATTCAATTCGTAAAAGTTGCTCAGATTTGCGTTTATAAAAAACTCGGATATGGAAAGTCTTTTTTATGTTTACGGGTGCTCATTTACATGTTTACTTGATTTACAGGTGTCTATCTATTCGAGGAATACGAAGAATGGTGTAGAAGGTAAATATACATATAAGAGACATGAAATCATGATTTCGTTTCTATGTCCGAATGTGGATGCATTGTAAATTTTCCTACGGCATTTCACTGTGTAAATATTAACAAACTATTTTTTTAGAGCTAAGGTAAAATTCTAACTACGCTTCAGTGGATGGAACAATTTAATCGATAAGAAATTTGTTAACTTTTAATAAAACATATTTCAATATATTCTTTAATTCTGTAAATAATCATTTGACAAAAACTACGTTAAGTGTGTCAAGTACACTCCACAATAATATTTAAATAATTTTCATTAATTGTTTCTGTTTATAAACATTTATTTTCTTTAGGAAATTCATTCTGCCCCTTGGGCTATTCAAATGCCGCGCTGCTCACGCCGCTAGTATCCCGCGCGGCCGGAGAGGGTAGTAGGTGCGTTAGGAAACCATCGACGAATGCCAGTGTAATACGTTAGCGTCCCGCATCCACCGTGGGGGGCAGCGCAGGACGCGACCGCGTGACCCTGTCCGTGAGCAATCTCTCAACTCACTGTGTATCCCAACTCATCTCTGGCCTGTATCATAAGTTTCTATGGACACTTTTGTATTCTTTGCATTGGTCAAAGAATACAAACGTCTCCGTAGAAACCCAGAAGGATACAGGCCTTCGATGCCCGGAAAAGTTGGCTAACATTTTAGTTGTGTTGCCAACTACATGGTGGCGCCGCGGTCGCTTCGATCCCCTCTCCCCCTGCCATTTTCTATTTCATGTTCTCTCATTATGATGGAAACATATCCTCTCTTCATCTTACTCACACTGTCTACCGGGCTTCTCCCCCTCTTTTCGGAGAAACTC